AGTTTATCCGATTATCTGTCAAATAAAAAAAAGTCCTTTTATTTGAATTGATAAAGCATATCTCACTTCTAGGTATTTAAATCAATAAAAATTTACAAGTTTTTGGTTTTACGGATATTCATTTTTTCGTAAATCTTATATTGTTATACAAAATATTCTAAGAATTCCGATTCGTATTTATTTTTTTTTGCGCAGACGGAGTGAAAGTTCCCGTTAAGTGTGAGAAATTAATCAAGATTATCCAATCAGGTTACATCTTGACGCAAATATAAAGTTTATATAAAGTTTGCTACATCAAGTGTGGGATTATTTTTTTGAACTTTTTTCCCAAAGATGATTAAAGGCAAAAGCAGGTACGTAAAAGAAAATAGTTATAATAAATTCAATTTATTAATAAAAGATAAATAGTTGAAATACTTTAAAGAGATAATTTTAATAACATGAATTGTTTATACATTCCTTTTTTTTATTAAAAAAATGTTAATAGTTATACCACATCGAATTATCATAGACCATTTTCAGGTAGTTGGAAACGTAATTCAACCAACCGACAAAATGGTACATCTACAGAAGTTAGAGCTAGGCCAACATATTCCAAAATGAAATTTGGATTTACTTTATTGAAGATTGATGAAAATGAAAATATTGAAGATATAAAATATCGATTTTATGAATTTTCAAACAAAGAAATCGTAAATCAACCACGTAAAGATGCAATTATTCGATTTTCCGAATTTATAAATAATGATATTATAAATGAATCAGATCAAAAACCGAAATATATTGTAAAAAGAGCACCAGAAAATTCTTTTAACAAAAAAGATAATGATGCTATTGATGATTTGGCAAACAAATTGAAATATGGATTATTATTGCCCTCGTTAGAATTTGATTCTTTTGGTACTTCGGATAAACTTGAAGAATGTGTAAAAGGCATTTCTCATGAAATAAAAGAAATTGATCCTCAATTTTCTCGTCAACAGAAACAATTGAGAATCTGTATCTTTTTTGGTCGTGAAGTGTTTACAAAAATTCAAGAGATGGAATTTGATTTTGAAAAGACTGTTTATGAAACGTTTGATTTCGCTAAAGAAATCATTAATTTTGTTAATTAACATTGTAGCTATGTTGGTTAATTAACCTTATTCTACTTTGCATTATATATGTTGATATTTGCGTAACTCATGCTAAATATTGTAGATATTCTTGAAAGTTTTGTATATTTACATAATTATATCTAATAAAATTAGGACAAACTTTGCAAACATGTTGTTCGCTGATCTGTTTTGGTTGACAAAAATGACCGCCTCGCAGTACTATAATCTTTTATTTCACATGTCTGGATTACCTAGCGCTAGTGCGTTCATAAATAGTGAGTAGGATTGTGTCGGTAAAGTTTGTTGCCCGAAATATATAATTTACCTGAGTAATCTAATCATACCTGAATATAACCTGAATAGTGGGTTATCGAAACTTTTAAACGTGATAAAATAATAACTTCCGAAATAACACGATGTAATCATTAATTTGTTAATACGCATTATTTGGATAAAAAATATTGTAATCATTTAAAATTTCATACAGTTTCTATAATGAAAAATATGTGCTATATAATAAACTTAAGAAGATTTAGACGCGTCAGATAAAACTAGCATACATTTCACATTATCTCACGCGATTTCGCGCGAGTTACGTGATAAAATTTTTAGTGAAGGGTGTTCATATTAATAAAGTATTACGTTGTATATAGTTAGTTGTAGTTTCTATATTTAATTTGTATTAGTCTCTTACTAATAATGTAGCATAAAAAGGACATAGTCTAATTCTTTATCTTTATAGAACTTTTATAGGAAAAATCATTGAAATTTTTAATCGACTAGCGAAATCGCAGTCTATACGCGCGATGTATATTTAATTTTTTTTCATCAGATTATTATCGAGCGCTCTTAAACTTTATTCTATTTCCCAAGAAATATAAAAACAAAAAAAAAAAAAAAAAGAAATTATTTATATATTGTAGTCACGAAATTTTTTTTATTACTTTCAAGATATCAAATCCGAAAAAAAAATAAAATCTATACATTCAAACAAAATATTTTTGTTTTCATCTAGTGGTATTATATTAATAAATCTTTCCCTGTTTTAATCTTTTAATCCAAGTTTCCTAAATTTTTTTTAAAAAAATCAATATAACGATAATAAATTAAAGTGGTTAATAAATAAAAGATATTACGTTACCATTGTTCATATTGAATTTTTATTTTACTTTTAGTATTACCAGCTTGAGATGGATTTATGAGGCGATACTGTAAATTTATATAATCTATGAAATAAATAAATGACGATGAATAAAAATAAACTTTGTAATATCTTTGCAAAGAAATTTATAAATTAAAAATACCTTCAATATCTTCTCGCGTCATCTTATTTTCCAAGTTTTGTACAAGAGTCATTGTAGGAATCAATCTACTAGTATAAACCGCATCTTTATGCCTATTAAATTCACCAGTCTCAAATATTCCATCATCATTTGTCTCTATCATTCCAATTCTTATATTTTCAGCATCTCTAAATTCTCTTAAAGTTTCTAAATCAACACGATCGCCGATAAGATTAGTACATGTCAAAGCGTACCACCTATCCAATATGATTTTCAAATCATCGCAAGTTGGTCGTTTTGCAGGATCAGGATCCCAACATTGTTTCATTAACGTGACCCAACATTTAGGTTGTTGAACATTGTTTAAGGAAGGACGAAGATTATTTGATACCACAGATGAAATTAAAGAGAGAGTATGTGGAATTTCATGAAATGGTTGTTTGAGAGTTAATAATTCATACATTATCATTCCGAAAGAATAAATGTCCGAAGCAGAAGAGTGTGAACAGCCATTTAATACTTCAGGCGCTATATATGGGATTACACCATATATATATTCACTATTGTTCTTAATATTAATATTATTATAATTATTACTACTATTAATACTATCACCACTGCTATTTCTATCAAAACTTGAAGATTCTTCTTGATCAAATTGTCTATTATTTTGAAGATTTAAACCAAAATCCGAAACCATTGGATACTTTTTTCCCATTAGTATATTACCGCTATGAAAATCACCGTGTATTAAACCAGTTTTATGAATTATTTCAAGACCTTGAAGGATTTTTAATAAGAAACTGATTCGAGTTGGCCAATCAATATTTAAATGATGATTTATAAGGTAGTTTCGGAGGCCACCATTTTCAGCGAATGACATTACTATTATGTATTCATTGGTTTTTGGATCTTTGCTTATTCCAAAACAGTGAACCACTTCGAAAGAGATTTTTTGACGAGTTACTGAGTGTAATGATTTCAACTAGATAGTAAAAATATGAACAAATAAAGATTTTAGCTTAAAGTGCAAGCACTTAAAAAAAAAGTAACTAGTGGATAAAACCAATAGATCTCACGCATACCACGTTCAAAACATCATTAGAAGAGTATTCAGATTCTTTCAATCTTTTTAAAGCAACAGCATGTTCACCTCTTCGCTTCCAATTATTTCGTTTCACATCCCAATTATAAATTTGCCCGTCTTCCCAAATAGCAAAAAATATTTCACCGAAACCACCCTGAGCCACAAATTTAAAATTCTTAAACTTTTCAAAAGGTATCCATTCTATTACTTGTTCACTGCACTCTGCTTGTAACTGAATTTCTTGAATTAATCGATCTAGAGAAGGATTATTACTAGACCAATTCGAAAAATTATCAGAAAAATGAGAGGAATTACAACTTTGACACCAATTCCAATACGTTGTCATAGTTGGTTTGCGACATTCAGCACAGACTTTACCCTTGACTTTTTTCTTCTTAGAACTCTTTTTAGGACTACGGAATTTAGCGATTCTTTGACCCATTTTTTATTACTGTATTAAAAAAAATATATTCGAATAGGTATGTAAAACGTAACTTTTCGATAACACGTCGATATAGTAGTAAATAAGGTCTTATTCGAGATATAATCCGAGGTCTAATTCGAGATATTATTCGAGATATTATTCAAGGTATGATTTGTGATATTATCGAGATATTATTCGAGGTATGATTTGAGATATTATTTGAGATATTATTGAAAATATTAATCGAGATATTATTTGAGGTATTATTTGAGATATTATTTGAGGTATTATTCGATGGGAGCAAACGTAATAATAATCGAATATTGCTCTCTGCAGGGTATTAGCGTGTTTTTTGACTATAAACTTTAAAGTTTAGATCAACCGTAACAAATTAAAAACTCGAGGTTGTACTTAATTTTGTTTGTTTTTCAGAAAATACATTAACGTTTACTTATTAGATATTTCTATATCTATATATATATATATATATAAGTTTTATAGACGCTATCAAAGCAGTCTTTTTTTTTTTCACAAATTGTCAAAATTGTGAAGATAGCGATGGAAGAACAACCCACCAAACTATATCTTAATAAGAAAAAACAATGCTAATAAAAGGTTTATTTAGGATAAGATAATTCCGTATATTTTAGGTATATTTTAGTATTTGTACACACAAACATATGTAAAAAATATGTAAAAAAAAGTGACGATTAATTTTTATTTGTAAGCTAAAAATATTTATTGTTTCTAAATATGCAGAAATAAAATAAATGCATTATTCTCTATCGTTATGTTTTTGCAACAAAAAGAAAAATAGTGGCACATTGGATTTTTTTAGATGTGCAATCGTTACACATCCTTTCTGCTTTCAGCTCATTTACAGGGTCCTTTTCATATTACTTTAATAATTAGGGGAGTTGACAATTATTTTCTCAATTAATGAATAAAGTCTGATAACTCCAGATATCAATGAAATTAGAAAATACATACAACTTTTGAAGGAAAACTTTCCATTTAATTTATCGAAAATTTATAATATTTTTGTTTATATATTAATAAAAAAATATGTATGTACTGTACATATGCCGTATTTATTTTACAATACATACCTATTGTTATAGAATTAATTTACGTATGTACTGTACGTACGTACATATACATCGCCTAATACCAGATACCTTTCAATGATCCCGGTAATTTACGGAGTAAGTAACTTATCAAAAATAGAAAATGGCAAAAACTTTTCACCGGTATCTATAAAAAGATCGACAACATAATTGAAAAATAAAGACTACTTTATTACTTTTATGCATGTTAATGCTAAATGACCTTTCCCATACAAGGAATCTCAAATTATGAATTAGGCTAAATCAGACATAGTGTTAGATCATATCCAAATTTTGACCTATAAAGTCAAAGTGTTTCTTCGTGATCGTGTTTCTTTATTACATTTTATGCGTTATGCATTAGCAATTTTAAATAATTCAGAATGTAAATCAACGGTAATAATACCATACAATGCTTAATCTTTTTTTTTTCGATAAATACTAACACATGAAAATGTTACACTGGATCAAGTATGTATAAATTCATCAAAGTTCTTTATTATTGGTGTCCTAAACTCATACAGAACAATTCTTTAAATTCCTTTCACAATGACAAATGACAAATTTACTAATTAAGACATAACTTACTCGTTAAAGTAACCATGTTTGCATGATAATTTTGCTAAGTATAACTACGAAATACGTACTAGTGCCCTTGAAATTAGATCCAATATTATTAGTCAATATTAAATATCGATAAATAAACATGGATCACTTTAGAGGTACAAGTCCCTCCCGTCAGATCAGCAGATCTGACTCGGATAGATACTTTAATAGTATATTTCTAGCACCATTAAAAACCTCTATCCATTTTTATTCTGCAGTCTTAGCTTGCTTTTTCTTAAAAGTTGATTTTACCAACCACATGCTCCGCAAGTCTTTGAAGTATACGTACGCTTCCTCACAGATCACTACGTTTGATCGTAATACTCGTTTTCCTTGTGTAACAGAAACTGCTGGAATGTGTAATGTTGCCAGGTGAGCATAGTGTTTCAAGCCATGAGGTTTTTATCAGCTGGCTTAGTCAACCGGCAAAAAAATCGGCTAAGCAGCTAGCTAATAATTAAAGCCAAATTTTTTATCTTCAGAAATTATTGAATATTTACTCAAATTTTTTTCATTCTTGCTCGTATTTTATGTTCGATCATTTTCTTTTTGAAACCTATTACTTAATTCTGCCCGGCATCATCATTTCGGCCTAAATTATACTATTAAAGCCTTGTGATCTTAGGCTGCATTAGCCAGCCGATACATTTTTATCAGCTGGCTTAGTCGGCTAAGCTACCTTAGCCACGGCTGCTTTAGCCAGCTTGAAACACTAGGCGAGCATCATTCGTGATACTCTTACTATTGATTTTTTTATCCGTGAGGTTTCAAATTTTGGAAGTAAAATGGGTTGGTAATTTTCCACCAATCATAGGGCAAGTTTGTGGTACAACTCAGAAACCAGATTGTGTATTTTCTGGAAAATACGTATGTAGTACTTTTTTCTGAGCTTGTTTCGCGATGCACTATGTAAATCAAAACTATATGTGGTCATATAACAAAATTTATTAATGAAGAGATCATGAAAATTTATAATAATTATTAGAAAATTTCACAGCCCTAAAGGTTATAAAGACCAGTATTACATCTATACAAATAAAGCTATAGAGCCATTTCTTTTACGTATTTAATGTGAAAAAATTTTAGTACGTACACTTTTTTTTTTTCTTAAAAAAAAAGTCAAGGAGAAAGGACTTAATTTAGATCCTTTTTTAAAGAAATGACTTTATAGTTCTGTTTGTAGAGACATAATATAGGTCTTCGTAAAATTTTATTCAAAACTGTCGAGCCGTTAGGGCTGTGCATCTATTTAAAATTTTCTAATAATTATTATAAATTTTATTACCTATCAAAAATCTTTACTAATAAATTTTATTATACTGTACGACCACATATAGTTTTGATTTACATAGTGCACCACGCACCCCATTGTTTCATGCTCGTTTATACCTTCTACCAATTTTCTTGTTTGTTTTGGATTGGTATATATCTGCTTTTTTAAATAGCTGCACAATTCTATCATAGTCATTTTTACCCCACTCGACAATTTACCTCGTGGATCATGACATGTGGCAAATGTGCTGTACGTACTCTCAGATCTATGCTTATTATCTGTCCGCTAATGAGCATTTGGTTCTCACGCTCCTCAAGCAGTACAGATACATGTATGTAGTATTCTTTACATCTGTTTCTGGTGATGATGGTATTTTTGACCTCGGGTACGGGCTATGAAGTAATGATATGTTTGAGAAATGCGTATTGTCAACTGATTTAGCCTTACCAACCTAAAAAATTTCGCTATAAAAATTTCGCTGTTAGATTAAGGTTTGGTTTTGCTATGAAGTTTGGTCAGAAAAAACTTTAGTAATACCAAACTTTCGCAAGGAAAACATTTTGTTAGTGCGCAGAAGGTAGTTTCATAGATAAAATGATGAGTTATACGCGATTTTTTGGTTTGTTTTGATTTTTTTGCGTTTTTTTTGCGTCACGATCATGAAATCTGATTGGCCAGTGAAATTTTTTAGGTTTGAGTTTACGTTTTCTATTATAATCACGTGCTATAATAGATTTTGGAAAGTTTATATTGTGTTCTGTATACAAGCTTGTATATACTGTCGAATTGCATATGACCTAGTTTCTCTAGGTGTATTCCACAGCCATTGTATATGTCTGGATTACATTCGATATAGTCATCGTTTGGACAGTTTGCTTTAACTTGCTTATAGTCGAACTCCGTCCATCCATCTGCAAAGTATTGCGGCCTCAGATAGAGTTGGATAAATTCTAATCTTGAGAGTTTTTAGTTCTATTTCTCTTGGTGGTAAAGTATAAACTTCATCGTCAGGTTCAAACACAAAATACTTTTTGTTTAACCTTGATTAAAAATATATTTTGTGGTGATAAACCAAGAGTTAACAAGATTATCTTCCCTGGCTTGAATATTTTGGTTGGTAGGCAGCTATAAGCTTTGAGAAATAGTTTGAGTTTTGATGGACCATTTCCATAAATTATTTTGTCTCTTGTGTTGTGGGTTATCTTGCTCTCTTTTACGCTTCATAAGGAACTTGAACCTTTATTTATAAATATTTAGAAAAATGTTGTTACACATTCTAAAACAAATTACAAAATACCATATTTCTAATATTACTATTTAATTATGAAAATATACTTACTAATTAAAACAATGAAAGTTATGTTTGACATTTAGTATTGTGTAATTTGTTACAGAATGTTGTAATTCTTGCTTATTGTTCTCAAACCTCAATTTCAATTTGATTTAGCTAGTGATCGCAATAATGCACAACTATAATTATATTCATATAAAATGTTTCGAATATGCAAATTATAATGTAATCAAAATTTTCTCAAGTGCCATTCTCGATACAATTAGCTAGTAATCGTGACGATGTTTCATTTGTTATAATCAATCAAAATAAAACTGTAATCGATACCTGAACAATTCATCAATATTTTTCTAATTATCAAACGTCGTCGCCACTAGGTTTAATCTTCGTTAATATTCTGTTATTGTATCAAATGAAAAAATATCGCCGAAATAATTGAATTTGTTGCTATATATATGAGTAAAGGCTAAAAAACGATAAGCCTCCGTAATTGTTTTTGGGCTTTCATAAAAACTTTTAGTATAAGGAATAATTGTTGATTCTAAAAGTTTGAATTCATGACAAAGTTACTTTAGTTATCTCCTTGAATACTCAATTAATGGCGAATTTTGCCAAGCCATGTTTAAAAAAAGGTTTGCGGTAATGTTTACAAATTTAAATGACTAATAAAATATTTTATTTACATAATAAACTTTATCAAATTATGATTATTATTAAATATTCATCTCAATAACAAACATAC